CAAACACAGCTAGGTTTGTCCTTTGTCCCCCTTGTTCCCCTTCTCCAGGGATTATTGTCGTCATTCTTGTCCAGCTCGCTTGCACCTTTGCATTTAATTACATTATAATTTAAAGTTCCTCCACGTAGAAAGGGTCTGTCTCCTCCTATTCTGGAGTTGCAACAGAAGTCCTGGAGGTAAAGACGAGTATAGTTTTTCTGCAATTGCATTCGCTGTCTCTACTTACTACTTTTTACTCCCGAATATCTCAGAGATGTGCGTCAAATATTCACCGTTTTGGCCTCATCAGAAGCGCATTAGATAGTGGCTGAGGGTCTAAACGTAAGGATCAGGCGTCAAAGGCTATAAAAATCTCGGCCGCAAGTTTCGACAGCGTTGAGATACACTGTCAGACGCGCTCTATGCAAACGGTAAAGGGTAGCCCAGGGGTGAGGTGACAGCGCCCCCCACGAATTGCGGCGGGAGGTGGCGATTGCCCCAATTGCAAAGGTCGTGAGAAGAGAAAGAGAGCGCGCGCTTCCAGTCCGGCCGTGCCTCGAGCGTAGTAGAACTAAACCTCTTCCTTTTTCAAAAGTAGCACAAGGTGCGTCGATGCACGAGACATGTGCAACGTGCAGCCCTTGGGAAGATCATGGCGGCACAGCGCAGCACTGAGCTAGATTTCAGACGCCATGTTCTTCCCACAAGTGGCGTGCGGTACGTTTCTCGAGCATTTCCCCAACAATGAATGGCGCTACTTTTCTCAGGGTAGAAGGACTTTAAATAGAACGCCGCAGCAGCGCCGCTTTATGCTGGATGCAAACATTACATGGCCGCGTCTTACGCAGGTCTCACTTAAAGCCCCTCGATGTGTTTGCGCTCGCTTTTATCAAGGGGCTTTAGTCTCACTCAGAGCCGTGTATTGGGAGAGTTTGGCCAATAGGCGGAGCAAAGGCCGCCGCCAGCGCCGAATATTCCCCCCGCGCTTAGAGCGTAAACTAAATTTGTGACACAGCGTGACCAATCAGGAGACCGCGACGTCACAATATTGCAAACGACATTCAAAGCGTGAAAGAGAGGCGTTCAATCTCGGCCTCTGCTCCATCTCACAAATGTCGTCAGTGAAGACAAAAACCTAGCTCAGCAAAACGCTTTTGTTTGTACGAGAACTCGTACATAGGAGCCACTTTCCAAAGCCACGCGCTCGTGCCCATGCCTTTCTCTGCACTGCTGATGTTGGCTTGTTAGAACAGCGTCCTGTGACTGGCGGAAAGAAAACAGTGCAAAGGGTGGGGCGCGCGAGCCTCTGGAGACGCGGAGTCCCACTCGGCTCGTGCGCTGGCTTTGGCAGTGCTTTCTTTCACCGTCTCAGCTGAGACGCTGTTTCTAGCAAGTTGGCCCTGGTTTGGAGCGCACGTTCGTTTATTCTACACTTGAATATTGGCGTGACGAAAACCTCGCACGCACAAAGTTTTCAGTCACTGAGAGTTACACCTTTTAACTCTAGCGACGCTAAAACGGCTTGAATTAGTCGTGTCACAAATTTAGAGTTCACGACCACCGCTAGGGGCTGTTTCGCGGCCTGTGGTTGGCCCCGAGATGCTCTCCTATTCAAACCAATGTATGGCCAAACTCTCTCGATAAACGGCTCTGGTCTCACTACCACGCTCGCGCCCCCTGGCCGAGATAAAGAGGCCGCTCGCTCTGCAAAGTACCAAGATGGCGGCGCACACAATGAAATATGGGAATGGAGTGCCCCTGCGTGTATACTCCGTTTCACCTGACGTCGTACCTCAGCGAAGGCTAGAAGCGCGAGCTCGTAGCGTTGGCAGCTGCCCTTGGAGCATGAGAGCATATGCCGCCGAGATGTTGCCTAGAGCAGAGAGCTCGCGCTTGTAGCCTTTCCTGCGGTACATCATAAGGTGAAACAGAGTATAGTTTATTTAGATGAGACCGGTGGTTTCTGAGCGCGTGCTGACGAGGAGATTCCACAGCCTTCTTGCAACGTGCATTCCACACTGTCAAGATTCCCGGTCGTAGCCACCTACGAATGCCAAAGCGCGAAACACATGTACGACGAAACCTTCCGATCCGACGTGCGGACTGCCGGTATGACCTTGGGGGGGAGGGTTTTCGTGGCATCGGAGAGCGTTGAAAACCTTCGCCTCCGACCGTCTTATTGCGTGGTCGGACGTCGGATCGGACGGTTTCGTCGTACATGTGTTTGTACGAGGAAACCGTCCGATCCGACGTGCGGACTGCCGGAATGACCTTGGGGGGCGAGGGTTTTCGTGGCATCGGAGAGCGTTGAAAACCCTCGCCTCCGACCGTCGTATTGCGTGGTCGGACGCCGGATAGGACGGTTTCGTCGTACATGTGTTTCGCGCTCAATACTTTCTGGCCGTGCGTTGTGAGCAAATCACTCAAAGGTCACGTCTGTGAACTGTTGCCTTTTTGTATGCGACTCTCGCTTCCAACTTGTAAATATGTGTGTACACGCAATCTTGTAGATGACACGGCACCTTGATTCTTTTCATTAATGTTTTGTTAACGGTATTATTTAAGAGCTCGCCCATTTTTTCGGCGGCTCCTCAGTTGTAAGATAGACAAAGAGAAGCGAATGAAAGTAGTACTTACGTTCTAGCATCATCTGGGGGCACTATTAAAAAAAATGTAATGAAAAGTTATACACATTCAAATCAGCCAGGCAGCGGTAAATTTGGCTGTGTCTAACATCAAAACCATGATAAGGTTGATGTGTGCAAGCACACCGATCAAATAATACGAATGGACTTTCATGTGCCACCAATAAAATTTACTCACGGATGCGCTCCATTGGTCGCAGTTCCAAATGAAAATAACGAATAAAAAAATAGACCACAGTGTATGCAGAGAAATAATCAGGGGACCGGTGAGTGCGATGTGGCGGTCGAAAAAGAACAGCAGTGAGATGGACTTCAACGTTGTCTTTCTCCCCTTCTATTTAGCGTGGTAGGCGGTAGGCACGTCCACGACCAACTCTGTACTTACGACCCCTTCATCTGAGCACTCCCTATGGAAGAGCCTTACCGCCGAATTCAGAACCGTCCTCGCGATTGGCCAGCGCCGGTCCTCGCGCCTTCCTCGAGGAAGTGGAGGGGCCCTTCAGTTTGAGTGTAGTTTGAGTGAGGTTTCTGAATTCGGCGGTTAACGTTGGTAAGGACCACAACAGTAGGGCTGTGTTCCAAAATTTACTCGATCTAACTCCGGAGTAAAAGTTTCGTACCGTGGCGTTTCAAAACTTACTCGAGCTTACTCAATGACATCAGAACTCGCATTCCAGAAGCGGGTTGTTTACTCCGGAGTTATTACTCCCGCTACCCTCCTCGATTTGGTGGTGGTGGGGGGGGGGGGGGGGGGGGGGGGGGGGGGGTAACGTCGGATCAAACCGAGTAAATACGTCGCATGATCTGTTCGTCGTCTGCTTCCTGCGCCGACAGCCGTCAAAGCTCGCTTGCTCCGTTGGCTTTGGTGGCGGACGTTCGAAATGACGAAGAATGAGGTGCAGCCACTTATTTGTGGTTATTACGATTTGCTTTTTTCAGCGCAGGAATTGACTGCATTACATCCAGACCGTGAACCTTCCCCGGGAAGGTGTACTTGTTGTTATTGTCAGAGTGCGAGCGTGTACAAGAGGTTCTCCGCCTCCTCGTCCTCGGCGTATGAGGGAATGCCGTATTCTCAAGTTCAAGGCTGAAAATGTTTGAACGCTGTAAATGGTGAGGTAATAGTTTTGTTTCCCCTAGAGTGTGTGCAATGAGAGGATAACGCTTGTAAAGTAGTGAAGGCTTCGAAGCTCGCGAAAGCGAACGTAAGTTACATATCTCTCTTGAGAAAGCCCCCTGCGCTGTACCGCTAGACCGTGTGGAAGCAATTTCTGCAAAACATAATCGGTGACGGACGTGAACATCACGTTTCTCCTTTGATTTGTCCGCTGTAACGCTAGGACTACAGCGCCTTGGACGCCTCACCAGCGAGAGGTGCCATCTTGTTTCGAAAGTCGCTGACATCACGTCAGCACGTCAGCGTCGCGTTGTGGTTGGTTGCCAATTTGCGGTTTGTGAAAGGAATTGGGAGAAATCGGTCCCGAAGCGGTTGGGAAAAATGCGCTCCAACCGCTCGATCCTAGCCGCTTTGCGGTTGAGAACGCGCGGATCCGCTTCCAGTGTGAACGCACCATAAAGTTTATGGATTTTGGCTAAGGTCCCATTGGCTGGCGCGCGTCGACGAGGCTCCCATTGGCCGCTGCGCGTCAGTTTCAACGAACGCCACCCCATGGCGTTGCGTGTCTGCGTGGAGTTCCAAGCCCAAGGTCAGCGCGCCGAGGACAGCGCGCTCGCTCGAGCGTCGACGCAAGTACGCCGCAGCCGAAAGAAGAGAGCGGAAGAGCGGCGTGCGTGCTCTCGCATTCACAACTCGTAAGAAGTGCTTCAATGTACCTCGATTTTTTTTTGCGAGTAATATTGTGTAGAAAGAGAATCTAAGGCAAGTTTATTCAGTTATTAATGGTAGGGAGTGATTCCAAGTAGTATTTATCGAAAGTAGAATAATTGTTTTATGACCCCTTTAATATACAACGCTGTCAAAACTACTGGCGCGAGCGTGTGGCTTCATCTATGGTTTCCTTTGCGCGAGAACGCGTGCAAATGATCAACGCGATCAAACCCCATGCTCGCGCCAGTAGCTTTGACAGAGTTGCACACTTAGGCTGTGTTCCATATCTTACCCAAATGAATCCGAGTTACTCCGGCGGGTCATGTCACGTGATAAAAGAGATTGAAAAACGCTGGACGGAAGTAGGTTTTGGAACGCCAAGGTACAAAACCCTTGTGGAGTAAGATCAAATCAATTTTGAAACATGGCCAAAGTATAAGACAGACTAAATCCATTGCTCAAAAAAAAAATATATTTTTTTTAAAATTTCTGGCACGTTTTTTAAAGAAAGCACTTTAACCTAATAGCCGCCTGGGGGTCACAGTCCCAAATGGCGACGAGAAGTAAGTGATGTCGCTTCCGAGGCGAGCCGCAAGACATCAACACGGACAAGGACGCGGAGGTGAGGCACTTTTTGCTGAAAGCGTCTCGTAAATCTTGCTGACGAGTGTACTGTGTTGACCCGCTAGGCGTTCGGGTTTGCAGACTACTCTGCAATCTATCTGTTCATATTTTCCGAGTCAACGTTGAACCATGCATCGGGTTCATCTGCAGAGCTTTTCCGCTCTGCCTGTTCAATACAACCAGTACCGTTTCTGAAAGTCTGTTCTCTATTGAAAGCAAGCTGTGAACTGTAGCACAACGAGATACACTATTCATGACTTGCATGTAACGTTATCGCTCCACGCTGGTGGTCAACACCGCTTGTTCTTACCAAGAAAAAAAAAGAGATTATGTTGTGCAATGCATATATGTTCAATCAATCCTTTATTTCACATCAGGAACGCGCACAACCGCAAGACCACAACGAAGGCAGCGGATATAATGTCAGAGCAAGTCAGGCAAGCATAGCTATATACTGTGCGAATACTACGAACTGCTCGATCATCTTCATATGCAGGTTTGGATTTAAACGCGCGGGGTTCTCTTTATGCGGTCACTATTTATGGGAAGTTTCCACACGACGTCAATACGCTCATTGGTTGTTACATTAGGAGTGGGGAGATGTAAACATGAGGCTCAGGCATGTTAGCCATGCAGATGCGTATTGCTGTTGTTAGACGTCAGCGTAAGTTCACCACTTTTCATCGGTTGCGAACTTTGCATTCGAATTTGGTGATAAGTCACTAATGTCGCAACCGATGATGCAAATTTGGTCATAACGACACGAATAGAAATCCTAAGAGGGCACCCCCAATAGGCCTGGGGCAGACTTGTACCGTACGCATTACAAGTAATCAAATTACTTGTAATCGATTACTTTTTGGAGTAATTTTGTAATCAGTTGATTACTTTTATGAGGCAGTAATCACAAGAGTAATCTGATTACTTTTTGAAGTAATAAAATTACTTGTAACCGTTACAATTTGTCCACGGGACCGCCCCCCCCCCCCCCCCCCCGGGCACAAGCCTTTTTTTTTATGAAATGGCAAAAATAAAATTTTCTTTTTTTTTTTTCGAACGGAAAAAAAGAAAGATTTTTGAGGAGCTGTAGGAAACGAGGTCAATCTCTTTCTATGTACAGTTTCTGCGAAATGTCCGTTTCTTTTTTTTTTCGAGCTGGGACTGGGAGTGGGAAGCCCCAGGAAAGCCACAGTGCGTGACAAAGGCCATTCAGGGCGAAGTTTGAGGAAGCAGGATGTAGCTTTGTGAGTCCTTCGTTCAAACTAGCCCCCTCACGCGCACACATACAGAAATAATAAAAAAAAAGATAAAAAAAATCCTGCTTAGGGTGCCTACACGCAGCCCGTAGGAGAACCAGAACCGAAGAATGCCTAAAGCGGATGCAAAATATAACAAAGGCAGTTGAAATATTTCCCCATTTCCCCTACGTGGTCTTTGTGACAAGCAATGTTTCGAGTTGAGAAGTGGTTGGGGCGAGCTTAACAGGATCCAGAATCCCCTCCGCTCCCCCCCCCCCCGCCCACACACACACACACACACACACACACACTGGCGAACGCCCAAATCATTAAACGTCTTCAAACGAATTCTATGCTTGTGTCCGCATGTGAAAGTGCAACGACCACGAAGAGGGAGCCAGTTTTTCTTCTTCAATACTTGTGCAAATGTGAAATATAGGTTGGAAGTAGTTCATTGTTATGAGCGCTAAAGATGTGTCTTTACACAATAAAGTAATCGGAAAAGTAACGATTACTTCTTTAAGTAATGTCCAATTACTTTTGCCATCGAGTAATCAAGTAATCTAATCGAATACTTTTTAGCCAAGAGTAATAGTAATTGTAATCGATTACTTTTTTTTAGTAACGTGTACAAGACTGGCCTGGGGTTACCCACTCTAAAGCTTGACGCTTTGTTATTTTAATACAATTAATGCAAAGGAGCAAGCGAGCTGGAAAATAATGACTATGATAATCCCTGAAGAAAGGGAACAAAGGGGGCAAAGGGCACATAGAAATCTCCAAACACAACTAGGTGACTGTTGCGCGACCGAAAAAATTCTTCCGCTCCTGATATCAGACGATGGACCTCTCCAACTCCTCATTAGCTCAATTTGTAGAGTGCTTCACTGGAAATGGAGAGGTCCCTGGTTCGATACTTAGACCAGGCGGATTTTTTCGGTCACGCACCAGTCACCTAGCTGTATTTGAGATTTGTGTTAGTCCTTTGTTCCCTTTGTTCTCCATTCTTTAGAAATTATAATTGCCACGCTTTACTAGCTTTCCTGCGGCAGTCGGTTCAAGAGTGTTTGTGACCTTTGAGCGAAAGTCATGCAAGCGTCATCAAATACTTTTAGACTGGAGACCTCCAACAAAGCCAGACGATCCCAGGTCGGACGGTCGGCTACAAAAGAGTAACAGTATGGAGAGGCACTCACGGGACTACTTGTCGCTACCATTGAATAGGAGGTGTACATCAGAGGCCATATTTCAGTGGGCTGTTCACAGCGCATGCTCAGAATGAGCTGACACTTGTAGGTTGTTAAGACTGGCAATCTTTATGATGTGGAATGCGCGTTGAAAACGAAATTGTGTAAGCTTGCAGTCACGTTCGCGCTCACGGTACGTTAACTCACTTCCAGTCCCAGTACTAAAGTCACTGTATCCTGGAAAAGTAGCGTCATCGCCTTCCCTGCCAACTAGCCGGACACAAACTGATACTAACATAGAGAAGACCAAACCTTGCAAGGTGATTAAATGATCTGTCTCAGTAGCCACGGCAATCGCAATTTTGGTCTTTCCAAAATCTTCGAAGCTTCAAAAGGGTCATCCTGAACCAGTCGCACAAAGATCGTTTTGGAGCATCATTGTACTGAAAGCGTCTTTCGCCAATGAAGGGAGTATTCCCTGGAGGTCGTAGCTGTGTGCACAAATACTGAGCACGTGCTGACGGCGAGCTTCCACAGTTCTTTTGCAATGCGCATTCCACACCATGTAGGTTGCCGGTCTTAGCAGCCTATTCTTATAAGCTCGTTCAGAGTCCTCCCCCTACCCTTCCCATAATCCCCTTCCCCCGTCACGATTGGATGACTTTATCAAGAAATCGTGATGTATCCCATTCCTTTAATAAATACGTTTTCTCACTCACTCATGTACTCTGAAGGGCGCACTTAGATGTGACGTCCAGTGACTGCCTCCTAGAGGGAGTGTTCAGTGGAGGCCACAGCTCTCTGCGCGTCTGCTGAGCGCGTGCTTACGGGGGCTTCCACAATTCTTTTGCAACGTGCATTCTGCACCACCAAGATTACCGGTCTTAGCAGCCTAGTAATGTGAGCTCGTTCTGAGCACGCGCTGTAAACATCTCCCTCAAATATGGCGTCCAGCGAATACCCTAAATAGGCCCGTTGCTCTCGGGAAGGGGTTGCGAGTGCGTCCGCAAGACGCGACCGTGTAATGCTGGCTGCACCATCCGCACGACACGACCATTAAAGGGCTCTGTAACGTCCAAGGTCCGTGCTTTCTTTCATAGCCTCCGTAAGTAAGTATGTTTCACTTTACGTGATAGCTAAGCTGAAGCCACAAGCAAACGCATGTTCCCCTGCACGATGCTTGCACTGCACGAGCGGGCGTGCTCTGCAGGGACACGGAAAGCTTGGAGTTCGCAACTGTAGCGTCTGCTTCGCTGGCACTTATAATAAAACGGAGTATAGAAAACTGTACTGGGGGCGCGTCATGACGCAGGCTCGAAACTCGACCTATAAATATTCCGTTGGGCAGGAGATTAAACTATAGAGGGCGCATTATAGAGTTTGTTTTTAGAGTGCCTTTATACACACGCGCGCTTTTGCTTGAGTGGTGACATCTCAGCCATTTTTTCCGCCCAATTGTTTCTAATGCAATTTGCAGTGCGCGCAATTCAGTGCCACTCAGCTCAAGCGTGTACTCTGGCTAATACGTAGACGTCAATTTGTCGCCCAAGTCACGCACCGAGTGCACCAGAGCGTCACGCGCTGGCACATTCAGGGCAACAATGGATGTCTTCACCCTGAGACAGGCAGACATGTAGGCACCTTTAGTTTTCCCCACAGCCCGGTGTTTACTAACACAACAGAACAAAAAAATCGAACCTCGCCGAGCATGATCTGTACACGAGCGCTTCGCTCTGACCAGTGCTTGGGCAACACGAGAAGCGGCCTTCGAATCGCCAGCTTCGATTTATCTGATGAAAAACAAACAAGAAAATTCAGTTTGTTATCTTTTCCCCAGTACATAGCTTGCATGTGACGTCATTCGCGGCCATGCCAGTATTTTAAGCGCTGCGAACGTTCGGTTCGCTGTGTTAGCTGCACACCACATATGTTGTAGTTCGCAGAAACAAGTATGTAGAGATAACCGTCAGTACCCAGCAATGGCGACACTTGCGAGTTATGTATTTCTTCTGCATGCTTGGGCCCGCTGCCCATAACTTGAAAGCTGCGGACCTATAAGTGCCTTTGGCACGGTGTCGGCAATCAACGTATCAGTCATGATTATCTCCACAAATCCTTTACAACGCATTTCTACTCTTGCGTATTCCAAGACAGAAAAATTATTTTTCAATGCCGCCGAGCACCGACGCGGCATGTGATGGCGGTGCAAAGGTGTGCGCTTGTTTCGCCCGTGTGTAGATAACAAAATATCGGTATTTGAGAAATGTCTTCATAAAGGAGCCTGTCCCCTGGAATTTGGATCGGCTCACCAAGGATGGAGAGTTCAAGGATAGATTGCTCATCCCAGAAAACAAAATGGCCACAATACGGGGAGCTTGGCTCTACTTTCCCAGAGGCCAGTGACCTTGCCAGTACCCCCTTCCCTCTGGCTTTCTTGTGCATAGCGGGGATCGGCAAGACCACTTTGGACAGTCCGTGCACTAGAATTTTCACGTCGCCGCTGCGAGTTCGGACGCATGATTGAACACGAATGGTATGCTGGGCCTCGCGTCCAGTCGTTGTGTTGAAAGACG